AAAATTTTTTCTAAATTAGTCTATTTTTATCTTATAAGTAACTAAGACTTTTTTCTTATAATATAAAATTAAATACTACTGTAATATAATTTTTATTTTCAAATATTATTAAAAAAATTTTATTTAAATATATTAAAATTTAAAAAATAGATTATGACCATATTTATGATAATTTTTCAAACAAATTTGTCTGAAAAAGCTTATAGATTAAGGGATAGTATTAGATATCAATTAGAAGTATAACAAAATTCAGATAATTTTTTAGAAAGGAAGAAGTAAAAAGATTAAAATTATATATAAGAATCAAATTTTTTATATATTAAAAAAAGACAAAAAGTAAGCCTCTAATAAAAAATAATTAGTTAATATATAAAACTGCTTTTATAAAATTTAATATTATTTTATAATAAATACTTATAGAATTTAATTAAGTATTGCAACCTGTGATGTGCTTATATATCACATTTTAGATATTAACCAATTAAATTTCAAAGTTAGATATAATGTAATATGATCAGTAAGATTCAAAACAAATATTTGTTTTGATAAAACTTATTTTTAAGACTATACAAAGTTAATTAATTGGTTCTTATAACCTAGCTAGGTCAAATTTTGAAAACTTTTACAAAATAATTTTTTATATATTTTAATAACTGGGTGAGTTTTTAAAAAAAATTTAAGAAATGAACTGAGCATGCAAACTCACAATAAGTCCTCTTTCCAATATGTGATACCAATACTTCTCATGTAGAACTAGCAGCAGCAGCAGATATCTGGCTTGAAAAATATAGATGAGAGGCCACCTATTAGAAAGAGTATACTAGTTTAAAAAATACTTTGAATAACAAACACATCAAATTAGAAGGCTATTAAGAACTGATTTCCCAAATAAACCAATTTGGGAGTTACCAAAGTTTGATAGTAAGATATTGGTGAATGCAGTAGATAACTAGATATAGTCTGAACACCAAATCTAGGTATAACCTAATAGTAGTGGGAACATAGTATATTCTGGTAAGTTTAGATCGTAGATAAAATTATCTAAGTCTGTATTCTTAAGATAGATATATAGTCATATAAGGCAAATACTTGATAAATATCTAAATAAAGATAAGAGACAAAACCTCACCTTAATAATAAAAAAAAAAAAATTTAAGAAAATTTTATAAATTTTTAAATATAAATTAAAAAAAAGCTAGCTATTCAAGTCTATTTAAGAAGTTTTATATTACAAAAACTAATAAATTAAATTTGTATAGCCTAACTCAAAATTTTATATATGAAACTATCTTTCATACTTTAACAAAAAAATTTTTTGCAAAATTTTGCTATAAACATCTTTTTATATTAATTCTAACTCTATTTAACCCTAACCAAATAACAAAATCCTGGTTTATTTTAGTTGTTAAAAAACAAATTATAATTTATATATAGATACAATATATAAATATATCACAATATGCAATAGGGGCACACTGTGTACAAAAGTACTAACTAAATTTTTCTTTTTTAAAATTATTAAAAAAACTATAAAAAATTTTAATAAATATAATTTTAGTTATAGTTTAATTTATGAATTTGATAAATACTCTAATCTAATACTTATGTTTTTATTAATTTTTAATAAATAGGATTTAGGCTTTTGTATTATAGTAGAACACTTTGTTAACTGCTTTAAAAAATTCAAAAAAATTTATATATATAAAAATCAGATAAATCTTCTATTTATTTTATAATTAATTTATTTTAAAGTTAGAAAATTTCTTAGTTTACACATAGTGTATATATTCATGTAATACAAATATAAATCTGATAGATAAGTATAAATTTTATTTTTTTATGTAGTACTTATGTTTTATTTTATTTTAACACCTTTTTTTAGATAACGACATGATGTAGTTCGGATTTGGTGATTGTTTTTGTTGTGCTTTGATCATCGTTACTACTACTACTATCAGGAGAGAATCATATTTGCCATTGAATTGTCAAAGTAGTTGGAGCTGTCACTTTTGGTATCATCATTCTCAGTGTTGTTGCTTTCGTTGTTGTTATTTGCGGATCTTGTTAACATTTTGTTGCCTTTGGTATTTGCCATTATTATTGCTAGTATAAACGT